CAAAAAACAAAAAACAAACAAACAAACAAACAAAAGAAAAATAATAAAAAGAAAAAAAAGAAGAAAAGTCTTCTGCCTCGATGTCGCGCATGAAAACGATGCACCTTTTACAAGGTAACAGAGAGCATTCCATTTTCTAACATTTCTCTATCGTCATCTATGATCACGCAATTTAGAACTATTTTTTAATCGCTCGTTGTAATTTTTTTATTTGTCAACTTAGAAAACTTATGGCGGAAAAGGGAATGAGAGGAAAAGATTATCGGATCGATTCATTTCTTTTCCTTTCTTTTTATGGAAGGGTGTAAGGGCACAGAGTAGATTGTTGTAGGATGCTGTTTGGTATAGAATATAGAGAGGGACAGGCAGAAAAAAGAAATGTAAAAAAAATATATATATTTATATATGTATATATAATATGTAAAGAAAGTATACTTTCTTCAGGTAGATTTGCCGCGCGTCTCATGTCCCACCCTTCTTCCATTGTCTTTTGTTATCTACAAATTCTTTTGTTACCAACAAGCTATTAAGATTTGGGAGAGAAAATATTATTATATATAGATTGGGGTAGTTAAAAATAGAACGTAGACGAGAGAAATAGCACGGGAGTGTGGTATAAAATTTATATAATAATAAACGTAAATTATCGTTTCTTTGTTCACAGAGAAACATATTTTCGTTTATCACCTCCCATAATCAATAAAAGATATTATAAAACGACAATTTTTGTTTATAATGGAAAGAAAACTACAATTCGCATTTAAATGTGTGGCATCACCGAGCGACAAAAAAAAAAACAAACGTAATTGCTATAACCTCTATCACAACTGAGGACAAAGAAAGATATATATTACCGGAAAATGAAAAATTTGTAAGTAATCACAGCGAACTAATAAAAACGGAATGGTATAAAAGAATGAAAAAAAGCCTCAATCAAAGAGGCCAAGAAAAAAAAATATGGATTAAATGCACACAGGGAATGGAGAGTACGTATTTCGATGAGAATGGTAATCTAATGTTTAATGATCTATACCTAGACGAAATAGTAGAAACAGACATAATAGAACCCACACAGAAAATAGAACACCAAATAGATTTAAAGAGTATATCGGAACAATTTATGATAGAAAAATTTGTAAGATTATTCCTTGACAGGGCATGTTTAGGCTGGCACTCAACAACACTAACAGCGTTAACAATGGAGGCTAGTTGGAACGAATGGAAACAAAAATTCTTGAAATCATTTGCAGACAAGGGATGGAATACAAGTATATACGCAACATCCTATAGACATAAGGAAGGTTCACTAATGGAGTACGCTATGAAAAAGGAAAAACTACTATTGGATATGGACAACAATATCGGTACGAAGACTCTAATAATGCTTATAGCAGCAGGGTTACCAGAATTTATAAGAGATAAAATAGACAGAGAAAAGTGTCAAAACTCAACAGTACTATTACAGGAGATAAAGAAATGTGAAAATTTAGTAGGTAAGAACAATTTAAAAAAAAAAAGAAAGAGGAAAGACAAGATAATAACAAGAAATTTGAAGAAAAAAAACCATGTAAGAACTGTGAAAAACTAAACAAAGGTATTAGATATCATCCAAAGGACACCTGTTGGTTCAAAAAAGAAAATAGAAAAGAAACCAGAATAAATAAAGGCAATTCGATGATAGAACTTGAGGAAAAATTAAATCAGACATTGGCAATACAAGACAGTACTATAGACATATCTTTACCATTATCAGAATTTTGTGCAGCTTTAGCTAAACATTTTGGATATAATAAGACTACTAAAGATTTTACAAATGACACTTAAAATTCGTTTAACGAAACTGATAATTTAGATGTTATTAAGAAACAATATGATGAGAAAATAAAATCTATGGAAAATGAAATGAAATATCTTACGCAAGAAAATAAGAATATGTTTAAGGAAATGGAACATTTGATAGAAAAGCAATCAAATTATGATGAGATATCAAACTAACTCAGAATGAAAACTTAAAGATATCTCAAAGGGGAGAGAAACACAAACAAAAAAACACATAAATACATTGGATAGAAATGAAGAAATAAAAGAAGTTAAAGTAAATTTTAACAAACATATAAATGAAGACGAATTTAGATTGGATCTGAATCAGTCTCTAGCAAACAAAATTACTTCCAATATCAGAAGATGCAGACGAGGACTAAAAATTGTAGGAATTTTATTTTAGGGGGGGAAGATGTAAAGAAAGTATACTTTCTTCAGATAGATTTGCCGCGCGTCTCATGTCCCGCCCTTCCATTGTCTTTTGTTATCTACAAATTCTTTTGTTACCTACAAGCCTTTAATATTTGGGAGAAAAACGGGCAGTTAGAAATAGAACGTAAACGAGAGAAGTAGCACGGGAGTGTGGTATAAAATTTAAACAGTGTGAATAATAAACGTAAATTGTCGTTTCTTTGTTCACAGAGAAACATATTTTCGTTTATCACCTCCCATAATCAATAAAAGATATATATATATATTATATATACATATACAATATATATACATAATATATATACATAAAAATTTTTATTTTCATTTAATATAGCTAAAAAATTAATATCCCGATATTTGAACGTTTATAAATATAATGGCCGATTCAAATTAATCGTCAAAAATTAATCCAAAAACTTCAGGACATCTCTGATACGTCGTTTTTCTTTCTTATTAATTAATTGATATTATTATTATTATTATTATTATTATTATTATTATTATTATTATTATTATTATTTTTATTTTTATTACTATCGTTATTATTATTATTATTATTATTATTATTATTATTATTATTATTATTATTATAATTATAATTATTATTATTATTATTATTATTATTATTATTATTGTTTTAATCGCACACAGAGGAGGGATGTAAAAGTATTTTTAAGGTAGGGAGAAAAAGAAACCTGAAAAGGGAAGGAGAGTGAGAGCTCTTCGATTTACATTTTACAAGAGTACTTAATTTTCTACGACGATTATTATTATTATATCTTAGATGAAAAAAAAAAGAAAAAAGAAAAAAGAAAAAAACTTTCTTATATATACTTAAGGAGGAACTGTTTCTAATTTTTTCGTTTTATACAAATTATTATTTCGTATATAGGATGATAAGTAAAACTTTTCAATATCGATCGTCGATCTTTCGATGACTGCGTAATATTATAATGAAAAAAGAGAAAAAAAAAACGGATAGAAAAAACATTTTTGAATTACGATGAAATTACCTCGATCTGTATTATTATCGCCGAATCTCGTCAAAAAAAAAAAAGAAAAAAAAGAAAAGAAAAAAAGAAAAAAAAAATTAATAATAAAATCACGGGAATATTCTTTTACTCATGTTTCGGCTTCGACAGGTGTCCCAGTCGAAGAGACCTAACAGCAACAACAACAACAGCAGCAACAACAACAACAACAACAACAACAACAAAAGCAAAATCGAGAAACGTCAAAGCGAACAACATCAGCGTGAAAGTTTGAAAAGACGAAAATCCTTACCCCAACACGGAGAAACATCCACCGTCAATCCTACAAAATCCATGTCAGCATCTGTTTCACAATTAACGACAACAACAACATCAACAACAACAACAACAATTCCTGCTACAACGGTCCCATCCATCATCATCGATCCATCTCCTTCCAATGTAAACACGTCGATAATTGCCGCTACGATCGTTGGACAAAAGAGCAACAACGTAAACGAAGGAAATATTTCTACTAATTCGGCTACTAAAACGACGTGCGATATGCAAATATTACAATTCGAACCAATTGAAATTTAAATTTCCCGCGTCGAAATATTTGATCCTCCATTTCCTGACTCGATGTTCGTTCATTATCCAGCCGTGTGCGGCGCGCCTGTTGCTGTTCGGCCGATGGCCGCCATATTACTGCGCGCATGCGCTTTATCGTCTTTTCTCTAAGCACGCTCGCGCGCATTGTTTAATCGTTCCCTACATATTGTGTGCGTTCTTTGTTTTCTCATTGAAAAAACATTTCTCAGCTTTTCCGAATGTTCTGAAAAAAAGGAAGTCATTTTTTTCGATAATAACACGAGGATTATATTATCTGCGCTTTTTCTGTTTTATTACATTAATTAATTAATTCATTCATTCATTTAAAAAAAGACAAAAAAATGGAAAAAAAGATAGATCGAGTTAAATATCGTTCGAGTTAATTCCTCAAAGTTTTTTCTTAATTGATTATGCGTAAGAATTTAATATATACATATATATATATATATATATATATATATATATATATATATATATTTGTTTCTCACGCGTTCTCTTTCGTTCACTTTTTACAATAATAAAAAACTTTTTACATGGATTCTAATCGGTTTCTTTAGATGTATTATTTTGTTACTTGAAGATCGATGTACGAATATTAAAAGAATTAATTTAGGACGTTGTGACAAATATTGAATATCAACAACGAGTGAAGAATAAAAATTTTAAGAGCTGTTCTTTGTCGTTTACGACTTCTCTCATTTTTCTTTTTTTTTTTCTTCTTCTTTTTAATTAATTAATTTTAAGAGAATAGAAATTCTTCTGTTTTTATTTCCACCTTCGAATTAGAAGACTGACGACACAACAAATGAATTCGACATGGAAGAATATAGTACGTATGTATGTCCTGTATATTTAAATTTATAAAACACAATATTTACTTTTATTCTATGATATTATGATTTATTATTATAATTTTTTTCTATCATCTTTATTTTTTTTCTTTTTTTCTCTTTCTCTTTTTATTCTTTTTATTTTTATATATAAACATTACTTTACATATAAACATTTTTGGATATTGTCGGTAACTTCTGAGATACCAGTATAGATTGAAAAAAAAAACAAAAAAACAAATTAATAAGATCTATAAAAAAAATATGATATCATTCTTAAATAATGTATTATACTTGGCCTATATATATAATATATATACATATATATATATATATATATATATATATTAGTGCTGTCAATTGTTTATATAATTAAATTGATTAGATTATCTGAAACAAATGCAAGCCATTCAGGAAAGTGTAAGAGTAAAATCAAAATATCATCGCTATTTTCTTCATAGAGTTCTGTTATTCTTTTTAATACATAAGCTTTGGAATTAGATGTATGATAATGTGGTTCTATTCTTAATAAAATAATGCACGAGTGCAAATATTTTGGATAAAGATCTATTATATCTTTATCGTTATTTTCACAATGAGCGTGAATACGCTTCAACGTGGCTTGTATAAATGTTAAAACCATAGGTGCATATTCTAAATGTACAAACAATTCTTTTAAAAAGGCACATATTAATTGAAATATGGACGGAGATATGACTGTGAATTCAAGTAATTCATTTATCGTATGTGTGATCTCTATGCCATCCTTATCGGCTTGTTGTGTATTTATATTAAGACAAGTCGACATAAAATTATCTAATAATACTTCTTCTATTAGTTTATATCTTTGTGAAAAATATATTCTTTCTATTGTGGATAAATTAAATTTAAAATGTGCATTCTCATGTATGGCATAACATAATAACTTTTCACTTTCATTAGTAGAGTCCAGGACAGAAAGTTTAACGATTATCTTTTCGATATAATATATAAAACGAGTATTATATTTTGCAAGACACATCAATGCACTTGTTAAAGATGTCAGTGTCTGACTGGACTCACATTCGTTTAAAACATCCACTAAATATTTGTCCATTAAATTCTCCACAAATTTTGATGTAGTTTCTCCATCTTTAAATATATGCAGGGATTGAAATCTCTCAGTTATGCGGCATAATTCACGTAATGTATCCTGCAATTTATATGCATATATATATATATCTTTATTGTATATATGTTTTGTATATAAATAATTATTAACAATAAAAGAAGAACTTACAATAACGTGAAGACGAACAGAATAACGTTGGTAAGCTTCCTTGGAGACTTTGTAACACAGAAGATTTGAGAAGGATTTGGACAAGGCACGTAATACAACATCAGATCTTGGTACAAATACATCCGTATTTAGAAAATCTTTATATTCTTCCGTGTTTTCAATACTCTTCTCTGCATCTTCACAGCTATGCAATATTGCCCTTAAAATTCTTACATCCATGTTATATTAGATCTGGAAATATAATGTTTATAAAGATAATATTATTATGATATTATGTATTTTATTTAAAAATGAAATACGTATTTAATAATTTAATGTTAATATATTCATACGCATGAAAAATTATAAACAGTTAATATAATATAGTATGTAGAAAATAATTACTACATATTAATTATTTATTTGATTAAAACAATCATAGTTTTATAGTTTTTCATTTGAACCAAAATTTTCCCTTTACATAACCTAATAAAACTCACATTATTGATCAGTATTACCAACATTATAGATAAAATATTCGATAATAAAATAAATAACTTACGTACTAGCAACAGATCGTATAAATGACGTAAGAAAAATACATTTAATTTTTTATAAACATAACGTTCTTTATTATGACTTTGCAATAATATAACATATGGTGTCACTAGTTTTCAATGCCTTGTTGGAACTTTAATGTTGGAACGTGTTTTAATTCTTTTAAAAGTTGATCAGCTCGTTGCCGAAAGATTTTGGCCAATTCAGAATCCTTTTTGACACCATCGCCTCTTAAATGCATCTGAGATACATTTGCACAGGCATACGGATTCCCATATTCGCAGGATTTAAGTGATAATTTGTAAGCCTCTTTGAAGTTCTTCTCTACGTGATTCTCTATTCCACTCATGTAAATACCTGATAGAAAGAAACAGGCTTTCTCCGAATGGAGTTCGTAACATGCCTTATTTAACATGTTTATTCCTTTATTAATCTGCATAGAAGGATCATCCTCAAGTTGATCAGTTATGGCAAGAATACCACCATGAAGACAACCATTATCGTCATTAAAATTGCAAGCTTTTTGTTCATATTTATATGCTTCATTAATATCTTTTTTACAACCTTTACCTATAAAAACGAAGAAACATATAAATTTGAACTGAAACGTCGATAAGTTTCTTTTCCCATTCTCCTTCATTGACAATATTAGAAATAAAATTTCAAAAAGCGCGCTTCCTTCTTTATCGACCGAGAAGCCGTAGAGCCAAACTGCTGCCATCTAATCGTCACATAACTTACCGACGATAAGATAATCTCCGTATTTGGCACAACTTCTCGGAAAATTACGTTCGTCACAATTTGATTTATAAATGATCGCAGCAGTTTTATATTCCTTCTTGATGGCTTCGTTAAAGTCACCCAAAAGATGACAAACTGGAAATGAAAGAAGAAGAAAGGGAGGGAGGCGAGAGAAAAAACAAAAAAGAAACGAAGGAACAGAAAAAGAATATTACTAAAGAGGACGGCACGTTCGTTCGATGCAATAGGTTAGATCACCCGTGTTATATACCTTCAGGATTTTTTTCACTGTAACAACCGAATTTATATTCGATATGAAGATTTTTCAGATATTCCTTAACCTCCTCGGGCTTTTTCAAATTGTACGGTATGGCCATGTCGTTTATTTTTTCATTCACAAAACTTAGCAAATCGTAATAAGCGAAATAAGGTTTGACTATAGACAATTCTCGTGTTAGAGAAAGAGAGAACGATGATAAGAGTTGGAGTGGGGATCTTGCGGTGGATCGGCCAATCACGTGATCGTATAGATTGAACGCGCGTTTCTTCAATATTTTTGAACGAGCGCGCGCGCATAAAGTGAAAAGCGAAACGAGGTGTCGCGTACATCGTGAAAATGCTTTAATCGTTTGGACAGTACTGCTTCCCACGTCGTTTCGCGTGTATATCTTCTTAAGTCTTATTCGCATCGTAATAAAATTTTTATTTTTTTTTTAACTTATAAGCATAAAGATAAGTGTAGTGTTCGTTTTTTTTCTATTTTTACAAGATATAACTATCGCATGCCCGAAATAAATATTATATTTCGTCATCGTCGTCGTCGAGGTTAGTAATATTATAGTATCATGTGTAATAATAATAAAGATAATAAATTTTGTAAAAAAAGAAAAAAAAATAAATTTCTTGATAAACACGGAAATAAGTACGAATAACGTTAGAATTATAAGAATATTATATCATGTTCGATATATTTCATGTACACATATATATATATATATATATTTTTTTTTTTTATTCGTATATAAAAATTTTCATAATATATATCTTTTTTAAGAATTTAATTTTTCTTTTTTCGTTTGTTTATTTCTTTTTTTTTTATACTTGTTTCTCTTTCGTTTTAAAACGTAATACAATTGCGCGGTTTTATTCTGATCTTGATATAGACCTTCTTAACTATAGCAGAAGTTACAGGATTACATTGCGTTTAGTAGGTCAAAGTTTAGGGTATACTCGGTTAGTCGGCGTCTACCATGCTATCTAATCTGAAATCTTTTTCCTTTTTCTTTTACTTACGTGTTTACTTAGGATTCATACATATGCATTATCACAAATTATTTCATTTAATCTGAGTGACAACTGTGATGGATAATTATTAGATATTATTATAATTAAATTGTTTTATGTTAACAAAAATTTATTTATTTATATATATATATATGTATATATATATATAGTATGAATAGTTTATATAAATAAATAAATAAATAATTAAATAATTAAATAAATAATTAAATAAATAAATAAATAAAAAAATAAATAAATAGTATATATATTAGTATAAATATAAATGGTTTAAATATAATAATAGTATAAATATAAATATATATTAAAAATATTATTAAAATAGAATATTACTAAAGTATTATTGAACTGTAAATGGTTATAATTTAAATGTATATATATATTTTTTTTTTTAATTAAAAATAATTATACGATTATTATTTTATAAAATTATTGGCACATCATCTATAATGATACGTATCTTACATATTTGACTAACAAGTAGTTTTGACCTTGTGAATAACAGATCTATGTATCTATCAAGTTCGTCATAGTATATAGTTATATATATATATATGTATATATACTAATATTCGATCGTAAAGTATGAAGATACATAGAAACACTTTACTATAGATTTTATTGTTGTGTATAGTTCTATTCAGATATACTTATCACTCATTATATCTAAACTCATTTACGATCTTATCATTAACGTAAAAAAAAAAAAGAAAATGATTTAATATGAATAGACTTATCTATAAATTTCCAAAGAAAAAAAAAATATATATATATATATATATATATAAATAATAAAAAAATAAAATAAACGTAACCAATCATATAAAAATTAAATAATTATATAAAATAATTATATAATAACAATTATATTATATATATAAATATATACGTATATATACAGACACATGATTACTGAAATTTACTAAGTGTATATGTATAAAACCGTTCGGATAAATAAATTTATAAATCATAAAAAAGAAAAAAAAAAAAAAGAAAAAAAGAAAATTTAATAATTTTACCAAAAACCATACATATACATATATTATATGTATTAAAATTTATTATATATTAAAAAGAAATATATATATATATATACATAAATAATATTAATATGAATAATTATATAAAAGAAAATAATACACATATACATGTTTACTAAAATTTATTTAAAAAAAAAAAAATACATATATATATAATCTATAAGTTACAAAAAATATAAATATATATATTATATATTGAATTTAAATTTTTTTTTGTTTCTTTTTTTCTTTCTTTTTTTTTTGTTTTTTTTTGTTTTTTTTTTTGTTTTTAGATGAGCGAGTCCGTAAAAGTGGCCGTAAGATGTCGGCCCATGTGCAGTCGAGAAAAGCAACAGGGGTGCCGGGTACGTCAACGCGAGAGTCAACAACAATCAGCAACAGTCAGCAAAAGAAAAAAAAAAAAAAGAAAAGAAAAGAAAAGAAAAGAAATAACAAGAGAAAATATCGGTCAATAGAGCAGTAGAGGGAGCATTGATAAGGAATATAAATTTTGATTGATGCACTTATGCCTAGTTAGAATTACTGCCTTACACATCTGTATTATATAGGATACAATACATAAGATGTAATAATATGTCTCATGTGGCATGTATTCATGTTTTTATAATTTTGTTTATCTTTTTGTATGTTTCTCAAACCTTCATCGTTATAATATCGAACGCATTGTAACTTAGCGACCGTACCAAAACAAGGAACGTTTGCTCATTGCTGAACATGACGCTCCTCTTGCATACATAGATATATACATGTATACATACATACATATGTATGTATGCATTTGTATACGTGTGTGCAATTTTTTTTCCCTTTAAATATTTCATTGAAAAAATTCAACGGAAGAAACTTTTCATTTTTATTCTTATTATTATTATTATTATTATTATTATTATTATTATTATTATTATTATTATTATTATTATTATTATTATTATTATTATTATTATTGTTATTAGTTTTTTTTATGTTTCTTTCACTTTTTTCTTTTTATTTTTTGTTACAGTATCTCTCATAAGCGAAATTTCATAAATTAAAAAAAAAAAATCTCTTGCATCTTTCGTCATATTTTTTTTCGTAAGTATAATGTATATACATATGTATGTATGTTGCATATGTATGTATATGTAAAAATATGTAGATATTTTCTAATCGTCACGTGCATCGCGTTGCAAAAGTAACATGAAAACTATTTCGCTTGAAATATCGATTCGACATAGACTTTGTTCCATCGATAAGCGTGAATATGATGAAGTGTACTAAGAAATATGTGTGTGTAAATATTTATAATATATATATATATATATATATATATATATATATATATATATATATACGTGACGCAGATATACGTGTATTTAAAAAAAATAATGAGGTCTAATGTACATTTATAATTATTCGATTATTAATTTCTGGAAAATAATTTTTATTACATATTTATACCCTTATGTATTTATTTATTTTGTATATATTTATTTGTGCATACGCGTCTGTCTAAAAAAATTTATATGTATATATATTGTAATTTATGCAGTGAAAAGTATGCATAGTATGTATGCGCGTTTTTATCTGTGTGTGTATACCTATATATATATACACTCGAAAGATTTATTGTTTACAAGTATTTGATTCTATTATATATACATATATACATACATCATATATATATATATATATATGTATATATGTACGTACATACATACCATCGTTAATCGAGTAAAGTCAATCGATTTATGTAGTTCTTTCGCATAAGTGCATGAATACGGGAATCAATAGATATATATCTTTCAAGTTACGTGCTCGAACCTTGACCTATATTTAAAATTCTATTTGATAAGAGCAATACGTTTAGATGACACATTGGTTATATTTGCCAAACCAAATTAATCAAAAAATTGAAATTGTTTGACGTTATTATTAGTAAATTATAAATAGCAGCATGTATGTTGTCATTACTTGATTAGATGTATATAATTAATGTATATTACTATTCCTTTTTTATTTTCTTTCTTTGATTTATTTATTTTTAAACAAGACCAAAAAAAAAGTTTCATTCGTTAGCAACAAATTGATCTATTTATTTTTTATATTTTCTTTTTTCTCCTTCTAAATCTTTCGTAAGAATAAAAAAATTTGTTGTCATATATAAAATTTGTATATTACAGATTTTATTTTTATTATGGAAAGTATATGCTGTCTCATTTTTTCCTTTTTCTTTTTTCTCGTTAAATCTATGAAAGAGAAATATTAAAAAATGAAATATTTTTTAATATACAAATTTTACGTAGAAATCTACAATACCGACTGTCGATAAAACATTTAGTATCGAATCGATTTTCCACAATTGATTTTTATGTTGGACTTTACATTTATTACATATACACAAGAAGCATATTTTTGGTTTTAATGATCTTGAAAAAGGAAAAAAAAGAATTAAATAAATAATGTTATAAAAACAATTTGCAATATGAACCGTCGGTAACGCGTTGAGGGTTAAAATAATTTTGCAAAAAATCGATGTCTATTCATTGAATATATACTTTTTATAATTGTTATCTGAACAAAAGATATATAAAATAATTCACATTATTATAAAGTTTGAATCGCACGCTTTATACTTTTGTTGGAAAATATATTAAAAATTTTTCTAATGGTAAAAAGAAAAAAAAAGAAAAGAATTTAGAAAATCCATTCGCCATTAGAACGTTATGTGTTAAATGATAAATAATTAAAAAGTATCATTATAATGATTGAATCCGTAGAGCGTCGTGACGATCGACAGCCAGACAAAATGTTGTACTTTGGAGAGTCCATCTTCGAATGGAAATTTGACTGGCGGGAAGGTGTATCAATTCGACGCAGCATTTGGTTCGGATTCAAGTACGGAATTGGTTTACGAGGACGTTGGCTCGGTCATCGTCGAGGCTGTACTTCACGGTTACAATGGTACGGTCTTTGCTTATGGGCAAACAGGTTGCGGGAAATCTTATACTATGCGAGGTTTCATCGAACGTACATTGGAACATTTGTTCGAGGCAACTTCAACATCGAGCACGGAGACACGTTATTTGGCATTACTTAGCTATCTCGAGATTTATAACGAACGTTTACGGGATTTATTGAAGGAAGATACGGGTGAATCATTGTTGATGCTGAAGGAGGATTCAACCAAAGGTACTTACGTGGCCGGTGGTTTGCGCGAGGTCACGGTCAAGGACGCTGCGGAATGCGCACGTTTGATCGAACAAGGTGATAAAAAAAGGGCAGCAGCCGCTACGAAGATGAACGCAGCAAGTTCGAGGAGTCACGCGGTTTTGACTCTTGCACTCGAGGCAATAGCTATTAACGATAACGAGAAGGGTGGTAGTAACGCTATTAGAAGAGGAAGACTTCATTTGGTCGATTTGGCTGGTTCGGAGAGACAAACGAGAACCGGTGCTACCGGGGATCGTTTGAAGGAAGCCGCTAGTATTAATTTGAGCTTATCCGCTCTTGGTAATGTCATTAGCGCATTGGCTGCTGGCAATGGTCGACATGTACCATATAGGTATAACATATTTTTATTTAATTTGATATTAACGACCGTACATATGGAACATTGTTTACGATATTATATATTATATAAATATATATTTTTTTCTCTTTTTCTTTTTTTTTTTTTTTTTTTTGATTTTGTTTCCTTCTGTTTTGGGAAATACGGGAAATTGGTACGTTCATAGGGATAGTAAATTGACTAGGTTACTAAGGGATAGTCTTGGTGGCAATGCAAGAACACTTATGATAGCATGCATCAGTCCTAGTGACATTGATGCCGACGAGACATTGAGTACACTTCGATATGCCGCAAGGGCACGTTGTATAAAAAACAAACCGGTTGTCAATGAGGATCCTAAAGATGCTTTGTTAAGACAATATCAATTGGAATTACAGAGACTTCGTAAATTATTGGAATCAAATGATAAGATGAACGATTCGATTGGCTCGACTAAAGATCTTGAATTATATGAGAACGTTGATACAACGGATAGAGAATATAACGAGGAAGTTGAAAGATTGAAAAAGGAATGTGAGAATTCGAATTTGTCCGCTAAAAGATTACGAGAGGAACTTGATATATTGAAATCGCGATACGAGAATGATAATGGTAAAATTACATTGCACGAGGATGAACCTGTTATCGATGAATTGGACAGAGAACGGGAAGAGAAACGAAGGAAGAAGAGAGAGGCAGCGAAACAAGAAGTATTAAGGAGATTGGAGAAACTTACGATTGGTGGGGAGGCACTTGACAATAACGAGTTAAGGAAACGAAGAGAAAAGAGAAGAAAGAGATTGCAAGCTCTTGCTGGTGTTTTAGAAGCTAGCAGTCAAGATGGCGGTGTCTTCCAAGTTTACGGCCAACTAAGGTAACATAGACATTTTTTTATTTATTTATTTATTTATTTATTTATTTATTTGATCGATTTTTGATCGACATTTTTAATGAACGATTTGTTTTGGAGATTTCTTTTTTCTTTCTTCTTTTTTTTTTTTTCTTTTATTTTCTTATCTTTTTCTTTTTTCTATACGACTTTTAATATCACAGATCTCTCTCTCTCTCTCTCTCTCTCTCTCTCTCTCTCTGTGTGTGTGTGTGTGTGTATGTATGTTTTCTTTTTTATTTCTATCTTTATTTTTTTTTTATTTTTATTCATTAGCATTATATAACATTATATTCAAGAATTGATGGATTAATAGATTTGATAATAATTTAAAGACATTTTATTGAATGATTACAAATATATCCGTTTTTAAATATAATTATAAATTTGAGATATTTAAAAAAAAAATATATATATATATATATAAATTTGTAGAGTTTTGACTTTACGCAATTTACTCGATCAATTAAATGTGTAGAATTATGTTTAGAAACTGAACGGATCTTGCGTAATCATTAATATATGTACAATATTCTTCAAAAATTAAACAAACATTTCCTAATCATAAATTAATAAGATTCAGGAAGTCAAAAGAGAACTAATAGATGAATGAATAAATATAAAATAAATAATATAAAAATAGAAATAAAGGAAAAAGAACACACACGCGCTTGTGCATAAATCTTTTCAAATCTATCATATTAGACGTCGTATATAGGGGGAAAAAAAAAAAAAAAAAAACCCACGAATCCTTTTTTTTTTTTTTTTTTTTTTTTTTTTTTTTTTTTTTTTTTTTTTTTTTTTTTTTTTTTTTTTTTTTTTTTTTTGACGAAAGAGAAAAATAAAGAACAAAAAAGGAAAAAACAAACAAAAAGACATAACGAAAGTAAGGAACGATTATGAAATCATGATGGAATGATAATTGTACAATTAAAATGGTTTCAATTTTAATGTCAGATCTACCGAGGATGCATTGAAAAGAATGGCGAAGAGAGTACGTCAATTAGAAGCGGAAGCTGCCGATCTCCAAGCATCCTGGGACGCGGAACGTCGTGATCTCTTACGACGTGAATTACTTACGTCACAATTGTGCGACGCAATGATACCACATTTGCGACCAGGTTGTCCATTACGGGACGTAGAATCTGTAAGGGCATCGGCAACTTGGTCCGAGGAATTAAATCGTTGGAGACTTCCGGATGCATCTAGTTACATAACATTACCACCAACGTTCATTCAATTACGTGATGGTAATATGACGACGAACACGATGACGACACCAGGAACTATATCTAAGGCAGATCTTAACAACAATAATAATAATAACAATAATGACGGTAAAACAACAGGGAGGGAGGATTATAGAAAAACGAATTTAAACGTGTCAACGAATGAGACCGCAGACGAGACGATTGATGATAAAAATAAAATTAAGGATACGACAAAGAAGTTGGACATTGCTGGAACATATTTTCGTAGAAATAGAATTGATACATTGTTGGCACGTGTCAAAGAGGCTAAAACATTCGGTAGGATTATTATTATTATTATTATTATTATTATTATTATTATTATTATTATTATTATTATTAATGGTAATTAAATTATTATCTTATGATAGATATAATTATTATTATTATAATTATTTTATAATATTATTTATTATTAATAATAATGAGATAATGAGATTACTATTATTATATTATTATTATTATTATTATTATTTCTTTGATTGATTTTTAACGTAAGAAATTTTATGATATTTTTTTCTTCTCTCCAACCGAACATATATATATATATATATATATAAATAAATGTTGATCGCGTTTGTTCATTAAACGTTTCGTAATAAGCGAAAGGATCGTTTGTTAAAGACTTTAAGTGAAACGAAAGTAGAAATGAATATGAAATATAAGAAACTGAGCAAGCAAGCAAGCAAGCAAGCAAGCAAGCAAGCAAGCAAGTAAAACGCTTTCACGATCGACTCGCGTTATCTCTCCCGTAGTTGTAATAATTAACGTTTAAATCCAATGTACGAAATGCGGAAATTAACTGTACCTTCTTTTTCTTCTTCTTCTTCTTCTTCATGATTATCTTTATAATTTTCTTTTTCTTATTTTAGAAATAGGAAATCGTTTGAGCAAGTCCGGCGGTTCGGAAGATACAACGACTCCGTCTAATAATAATTATCTACAATTGAACGCATTGAACTTGCAAACTAGCGCGCCTGTAATCACCGAATCAAATGTTTATAAACCGAGTCAACATCCTGTAACAGTTCACGGTCATTCAACTCGATACGCATGGACCATAGATGATAATCCAACAAATAAAACTTATGGTTCGCTCCTAACTAATATGAAAAAAAATCCACCAAGGATATTAGAAGCATTACCATCTTATCCACAAGGCAATGGTCAACTTATCAATAATCCGTTTCGTTTTAACGAAAGGATACCTTCTAGATTCGATCAAAATGACGATCAACGACAACATCAACGAAAACATGAACAAGATGAAGATGAAGTGGAAGATGAAGAGGAGGAGGAGGAAAAAGGAAAACGTCGTGAACGTCGTTTACTCAATCTCGATCGAAATTTTCATTCATCCAAGGCGAGCTAACGATATTGATTAATTAATGAATTTATTAATTAACGATTAGTTATTAACGAAATACATACTCGTTATTTTTAATATTATCGTTTTTGAACGTCCATATTATATCTTAAATCATCACGGTTATATTTAATT